TATATATATATTTGTTGTTGTTGTTGTTGTTGTTGTTGGAGACAGTCTCACTGTGTAGTTCAGGCTGGCCTCAAACTCTCAGTGATCTTCCTGCCTCAGCCTCCCAAGTGCTGGGAGTACTCCCAAGGGCTCACTATTCCTGGCTGCTCTATTTTTCAATAACAGAAGTTACTGAGAAAAAGTTAACCTTTTGTGCTTTGTGAGTTAAAACCTTTTCAGCACAGAGTACTATCTACTATAACTTAATATAACATTAAATTTTAATAAAACTAATCAAGGGCTGGGGATTTAGCTCACTGGTGCCACTGCCTGCCTTGAAAGCACAAGGTCCTGAGTTTGATGCTCTGAACCAAAACAAAAACCAAAAACTAATCAAGCAGTAGATTAAAAATATCTCGCAAGGGAGAAATTTCTAATGTTTGACAATAGGTATGGAGCAATTAAGATTGTTAAGAGGATAGGTAGGCTCAAATAGCCCAGGCCTCTGCCCCATCCCAAAGCCAGGTTGGCACCTGACCCAGCCACCAGGCCACCACTCAAGGACAAAGGCTCTAAATGCCTCCCCACTTCCAGCCCAGCCTAAGACACAGGAGAGGTAAAACATTCACCCTGGGAGAAGTAAAATACATTCAGTAGCACAACCTAATGTGTAAGGCATGCTGTTAACCATGGAGTTACTCAATATTCTTATCAAGTGTAGCACCTGGGGTAAGTGTTCTGGGTAGGGATATACTCTACATTAACAACGGAAGTAGAGGAAAATCAGAATTGCTTTATGGTTCAAATTGGTGCAATTCATGAATTCTGTGGACTACTGAATAATTAAATGATATAGAGATGACAATTTTAGAAAAAAATACATACACAAAACAACTATCTTAACTGTAAACTAAATATAAACACTGAAAATTTTTACACATTTTTTGATGCTTAATAATGTATGCAATTCTGAAAGCAAGATTTTAAGAGATTATGTATTTTTTTTTTTTTGGCACCGGGGATCGAACTCAGGTCCTTGCACTTGCACAGCAGGCGTGAAACCACTGAGCTAAATTCCCGGCCCAATTATGTATTATTTTGATACATCTGCCTGAGACAATTTAAAGCACACAAGAAGTTTAAGCCAGGTGTGATGGCACAATTTTTATTGGCCAATTTTATTTTTATGGATCATGGATAAGAAGACTTTCAGTAGTTTACTCCTCAAAACAGAATTCTCATTCACGTGAAGTTGTAAATGTTCTTCACTGTATGAAAATTCATAAAAACCTCATATTATGGGGTCTTAATAAGTCATAATATACAAAACTCTACAGGATATTCTGCACTGTGGGTCATGCCCTATAGGAAAACAACTATGAAGGGAAAAAGATTCTCCTGGGCTATGCGTTTGTCTGTGCCTATGAAAGGCAGGGAAAACGTACAGGAATGTGAACTCCGGTCCGCAGCAGCTGTGTAAGAAGGGTTGTGTGTAACACGGGTGGAGGAAGAGCTGCAGTGAAGAGAGGATGTGCAAGTGTGCCCGACGTGATTCTCAGGGTTCTTCATAAGGTGGGAGCGTTGGGAAGTGAGGTCTAGTAGTGCGACAGGATTAAAAAGATAAGTGATGGCTGCATCTCTAAAACTTAGTATGAACGGACATCTACATAAAGTGCTCCAAGTATCAATGAACGCAAGGCGGAAATACCACCGTCAGCGCTGCAGGAGTTTCGGGGAGCGGGAGCAGAGAAACGTGGAGGGGGCTGAACCTCTAACGCCACGAGGAGGGAGATTGCTGAGGGGTGCGCGAGGGCACTGACCAGAGAGAACTCGGTGCCGGGCCAGTTGACTCGAAAAGGGACATCATCGCTGAGCGGGGGAAGCGCGCGGCCGCCGCCAGACGCCTCCAGGAGGCCGCAGAGGACCAGGAACACCGGCCCCCCGGGGACCAGACTCCGCACGCCGCCGCCTCCTTCCTCCATCCTCCGCTGCCACTTTCCCCAGCCGCTGCTACACCCTCCTCGGGCCAAAGAGGAGACGAGGAGGAGGAGGAGAAGGAGGAGGAGGAGGAGGCGGCGGCGGGACTATAAAGCCACCTAGAAGCCGGGAACCCAACCACCGCCACGTCTCCTTCCGGAGAGCCCGGCACCGCCGCCCCACCCCCTGGCCTCCGGCCTAGCTTCCAGAGCAGGCGGCATGTAAACATCCGGGGCCTCCGCGGCCTCCCCACCCCTTCCGGGGCAGGCGGCAGGTTAACACCCACCACCATGGCCTCCCGCTTCCGCTTCCGGTCCAGGCGGCATGTCAACATCCGGGGCCGCGGCGCTCTCTGCGCTGCTTCTCTTCCAGATTCCCGCGGCTTATCGGTGGGCCAGTGTGTGGTGGCTTTCCCTGACTCCCGGAGACCCGGTCTCGGACCAGCCTTTTGGCAGAGAAGCGGCCGGGCCGCACGGCGAGCCGGTGAGTCCAGTGCTTGCCGCCCGCGCGACTCCCCCTGAGTGAGGTGAGCGCGGGAGGAAGAGCAAACGCCGCTGGTGCGGGTCCTTGGGCGGGAGAACTCAGGCGACGTGCCTGATGGTCTGCCCGCCGCTGCTTTTCCTTCCCGCTGTACGTACTCCTCGCTTTTCTGGCCCGAAACATCTCTCCGGCTCCTGGCCTCTCATCTGCGACCTTCGTAGCCTCTGTTCCACGCCGGGAACATTGTTCAGCCTCTGCCGTGCGTGTTCTGTGATCAGGACGAAGAAACGTGCAGTCCCCAGGCACAGTACCTGGCAGCTGGGCGTCCCAGCCCACGCGGCGGCCGCCCCCGCTTGCAAGTGTAGGTCTGTGTTGTATCAAGGAAGCGGATAAGTTTTTTTGTGTGAGGGTCAGACCAGGTGAATGTGAAATTAGGAATTTGTGTCACGTTTGACTACGTTTCGAGGAGATGTAAAAAGTTGTGGTTTCTTCTTTAAAAACTACACTTTTACGTCTCCGGTGTACGAGCTTATACAGTGCTGACCATAGAACACTTACCATATTCTTCCTTGGAGGTTAGGAGAAGACAGACTAGACTGTGTTGCTAAAGTTGCTAAAGACTGCTGGTTCTTCCCCAAATTTGAACCTAATCGAAAAGGAAGAGTGCATTGTTTTCATTTCTATACAAACCCCCCTCTCCCCCACTAGTTATTGAGCCCTGGGCCTTGACACTGAGCTGCATTCCTAGCCCATTTTGTTTTGTTTCATTTCAGGTTCTTGCTGAGTTGCTTAGGTTGGGCTCCAACTTTGTGATTCTCTGCTTCAGCCTCCTAGAATGCTGGGATTACAGGCGTGCACCATCGTGCCTGGCTTCTCTCAATTTTCTTTTAACACGATGGGTCCAGAGCACAAGGGGTCCAGAGTATCAAAGAAAACCATTTTCTAGAATTGAAATGTTGGTCATTAGTTTATTTAGCATTTCTTACTGTTTGATGTACCTTTGAGATTGGTAAAATGGCAAATAAGTAGGCTTCTGTTTTCTGTTTCTCATCGTCTACCAAGGGAGAATGTACAGATAATTGCAAACTAGTGTGGTGATAGTAAGTAGTTAAAATTTATTGAGCATTTACTTGTGTTACATACTGATATAACTACTTTGTATTACTTTCTTACCTTTATGAGGTGGGTACTGTAAATTATACACTAGAGGGATTTTAGAGTGGAGATACAAAGAAGAAATTGAGGAATTCTATGGTTGGTCAGAAAAGGCCTTCTAGGAGAAGTGATACTAAAACAGGGATTTCAAGGACTCATAGGAGTTTATTCGGTAGATAGAAAAATGCATTTTAAGCATAATTCTAGATAGTCCACTAGGGCTTTTTGGTGTAGAGTGCAGTGTGGGATAGAATCAGAAGTAGGAGATTGGTGCTAGAGAGGAAGAGAAGGTCAGTTCAGAAAAGGTTATGTCTTGCAGAGATGTGTAAGCAGAAATGTGTGATAAACCAGTGGGTCAGAACAGATTTTTTGCATTGGAATCCGCTGAAGTGACCCTGTTTTAAAAATTTTTTTTGAAACGGAATCTCGATAGGTAGCTCAGGCTGGCCTTGAATTCACTATGTAGTAAGGCTGATTCTCCTGCCTCAGCTTTCTGAGTGCTGGGATTACAGGCATGTGCCACCACGCCCAGCAATAGTAATAATTTCTGAATCAGGCTTCTGTTTTGGACATGTTAAGCTTTAGAAGTTATTTAGACATCAAGTGGACCTAACAAGTTGGTTAAGTAAATCTGAAGTTCAGAGGTGAGAGGAAGTTAGGGCTGAAGTTAATAAATTTTGGGGTTATTGGCATATAAATGTAGTTGAGCCATGGTACTGGCTGAGATGAACTAATGAGAGTAAGGAAAGAAAGACAGGCATCGTTGTATATCTGAACAGCAGTGAAGAATTAAATGGACTGGGAGGGTGTGCTCAGTCAAAGCTGGAAGAATTCAGGAAATAGACACTAAGATAGTTAGGAGAAAGAAGTGTTTCAAGAAAGAGGGAGTAGGCCAGACTTGGTAGTGCACAGCTGTAATCCCAGCACTTGCAGGGCCGAGGCAGAAAAATTTTCAAGAGTTTGAAGCCAGCTTGAGCTAGATAGTGAGACCTTGTTTTTAAAAAAAGGTGTGTGTGGGGGGGGTCGGTGTGTGGTGGGGCATACCTTAACCCAGCACTCTGGGAGGCTGAGACAGGATTGCAAGTTCAAGCTCAGCTTAAGCAATTTAGTGACTTAGTGAGACCCTGCCTCAAAATAAAAATTTTAGAAAAGGGTGAAGGCCCTGGGTTCAGTTTGTAGTACCTCAAAAACAAGCAGAAAAAGGATGTGAACAGCTAGCTGGGTGAGATGCTGCTGAGAAGCTGTATAAAATAAGGATAAGTAAATGACCATTGCGTGTGGCATCATGGAAGAGGAGTAGAGGGATAAACAGGTCTGTTGGATTGGCTTGAAATGGAGGTCTTCCTGAGGTGTATATATTAATAAAAACTAATATGCTGGGCAGGGGGTGCAGCTTCGTGCTACAGTGCTTGCCTACCATGTGGAGGGTCCAAGTCTGTGGAAGGTCTCCAGTACTGCAAACAAGACAAAAATGCTGGCTGTGGTGGCATGTGCTACTCTGGAGGTTGAGGCAGGAGGATTGTAAGTTTGTTTGCTTTTTGGTACCAGGGATCCAACTTGGGACCCTGTACTTTCAAGGCAGGTGGCTGAACGAGGATTGTAAGTTTGAGCCCAGCTTGGACAACTTTATGGGACCCTCTCTAATAATAAAAAGGACTGGAAATGTAGCTCAGGATTCCTGAGTTTAGTCCCTGGTTTTTAACCCCCAGCCCTCAACAAAAAGCTTTTACATTTTAGCAGAGTTCAGAACAGGGTTTCTCAACCTTGGCACTATTGATAGTGGGCTGTCATGGAGTATTATTCTGTGCATTATATATTTAACAGTGTCCCTGGCTGGTATCCGCTATATTGCATTAGCAACCCCGTCCCTCCCCATCCCTCATTTTGTGATATCAGGCATTTTCAAATATCCTGTAGCAGGTAAAATGGCCTGTGGTTGAGAACTATTGGTTTAAACTCTTACATAAAAGGAATAAATCTTAATGATAAATGTTTAGGCATTTAGCTTACTGAATGGGAAAATATTTAGGAACAAGCAGGGGACCTAACACTTCAATTTTTTTTTTCAGTGTAGTGAATCTACTTTGTCTTTAATGTAAGCAGTCCTGTTTATGTATCTTTCTTTCCCCTTGGACTTGGGATTGAACCTGTGGTCTGGTACTGCTTAGCAAGTACCTCTGAGCTGCATCCTAGTCCTTTTTATTTTGAGCTGGGGTGTTGCTGCGTTACTGAGGCTGACCTCAACTTGTGATCCTCCTGTCTTAGCCTCCAGGGTACTGGTATGCACCAGACCATGCTTTGCATTATATTTTAAATGATTCGTAAGGCACTTAGTCTTAATTGGTGCCATCATTGTGCATGTCTGTTATCCTCATAAAGGATTTTGGATGTAAAGGTGTAGAAGATTGTCCTGAATCTGTGTTAACTCTAAGTCATGGCCTAGAAACTATTTTGAAAAAATATTATCTAGTAGTCTGTTGACTTTTTCTCGTATAAATATGGTGTAGAATACACAGTTTTAAATTTCATTTACTTTAACTTTCTGATTTGTGGATTCTAGAGAAATTGCCCTTTATTTGGCAGAGGTACCTGTTTTTGCAAATGAGGAAGTTATCTTAATTAATTTTTTTTTTTTTTTGAGTACCGGGGATCGAACTTGGGTCCTTGCACTTGAGCAGCAGGCGATGAAACCACTGAGCTAAATCCCCGGCCCCTTATCTTAATTAATTTTTACACTTGATCTTAGCCAAAAGGCCAAGAAGCGATTATCTTAATTAACTTTTAATTACCCAAAGCAGTACAGTTCTGGGTAGAGATCAAGCAAGTTGTACAGTTGTTAATCCAACAAATAACAGTTTGGAAGCACTATTGTAGGTATTAAGGGTCCTATGAAAATGGTGTAGGTATCTATCAGGTTTGCCAAATCATTACCACTTAGAAAAGGAGATAGGACTTGTATGTAACTAATTATATTGGTAGACACAAAGAGAAAGTATTGTTAGAAAGGCTGTGTACAGATAAAATATTGTGGACCTTCAGAGGAGGGGGTTATTGTCTGTAGCAGGGCTGGGTTAGGCTTTTATCTTATTTAAGCATAATCCCATGTGAAGTTTTTCTGTTAGAGGATAGTTATTGATTTCTGATTGGTTAGATTTTGTTTGTTTTTTTTTGGTACCAGGGATCAAACTTGGGGCCTTGCATTTGCAAGGCAGGCTGCGGTACCACTGAGCTAAATTGGTTAGGTTTTGACAGTTTATGTATTAGGAGAAAATATTTGCAAGCCATACATCTGATAAGGGATTAAAATGAACTCAAACAACTGTATAGAAAAAGATTAATCTGATTAAAAAAATGAGCAAAAACCTGAATAGACATTTCTCAAAAGGAGACATACAGATGGCTAAAAAGTATATGAAAAAATGCTCCATGTCACTAATCATCACCGAGAAACAAATTAAGACCCCAATGAGGCTTTGTAACTGTCATAATGACTATTATAAAAAAGACAAAGAGGCTGGAGATTTAGCTCAGTGGTTCCACTGCCTGCCCCCAAAGTACAAGGTTCTGAGTGGTGCACACTTGTAATCCTACCATTTTGGGAGGCTGAGGCAGGAAGAACACAAGTTTGAGACTAACCGCTGCAACTTAGTGAGACCTTGTTTCAAAATAAAAAGTAACAAATGCTGAGGACCTAGGTTAGTGTTAGACCATCCCTGGGTTCAATATCCAGCAGACAAGACAACAAGTGTTGATGAGAATATGAAAAAAATGGAGCCTTTTAAAAATGTTGGTAGTACCATTATGGAAAACTGTATAGAGGTTCTTTTTTTTTTTTGGTACTGGGGATTGAACTTGGGACCTTGTGCTTATGAGGCAGGCACAATGCCACTG